CGGTGCTGAACGATGACATCGGACAACTAGAACGCGACATTGATGATATTAAGGACAAGATCGAGACACTGAAGAATAAAAGAGGGTCCGATTGGTACCCACTGTTGACAAAATGTTCAAATTAGCTCCAACAATTGTCAAAATGATGCACTTCAACTTACAACAAATTCCACCAATCGTTGAGCAGAAACGAAAACACGAGGTTTGATTCAGTTCGGGAACGCGATGCCATGGTTTGTGCACCACCACGTGCCGTAGCCCAAGGAGACGTCGCCCGTAGTGGACAGACTGCGACTGCAGCTCAACCGTACGGTGCGCAGAACTGTGACGGAGACCGTGGACGCTGTTTGGGTGGCCTTCTCGGATGAACTGGCACAGCTAACGTTTAACGGTCCGCCCACCGCACCTGCTATGGACGACTACGAACTGTTTTACGACTGCTGCAGCCGACTGACCAAGTTCATCGAGAAGAATATGGACACGACACCCGGGTTTTTAGAGCAGATGGACCGCCTCATCTTCGCATGCCACTATGGCGCCCCGGGGTCGGCGGTGCGCTTCGCCATGACGAAAGATCTGCGCATCCGTAGAGGCAAGGCGAACAACGGAAAAGAGCATGTTAGCATCAAGACGGATCATTTAATAGCAGGTGAGAGTGAGCAACCGGTGATTTCACCGCCGAGTGGTACACGTGGAATGGAGGCTTCCAACGAGGAGTCCGAGGCGACTACTACAGTTGGAACGGAATCGAGGCAGTGGACGAGGAAAAGACTGTCGACGACGAGCCATTCACCACCAAGACTGCCTCCGTCGAAAAGAGCGAAACGATCGTCGGCTTCGGATTTGGGACGGGGTAAAGATGGAAACCACGAGGAAATGGCGACGAAGAAAAGTGACAAAGAGAAGAAGAGAACGAGCACCCGAACTTCGCCAATGCAACAGAATGTTGGTCGACGCACGTCGCGACGAATGACTTGTGTTCATCGACAGGTGAATGGTGTTGAAGATGATCAGAGAAATGATCGGAAGACAACGAAATCGCGGAGTGGTCGTTGTGTTCGTCGACCGGTGAACGGTGTTGGGGATGATCAGGGGAATGACCGGGAGACAACGAAGTCGGGGCGTGATCGTTCTGCTAGTTCAAAGCGTCAAGAATCTCTCCAAGCTGAAACTGGGAGAAAGGTACGACGAAGCTTGAGACGCTTATCGAAATGTACCAATGATTCGCGTAAATCCACCGAGTCCAATGAAGACTACCAGACACGATCAAAAGCAAAAGATGAAGCGAAGGATCAATCTGAAAAAACTGACACGACCGGGTCGGAGCAAGACACTAATGTGATCGAGGAAGATGACCCGGATACCGACGCTGAACAAGTGGTGCCTCCTGAAAGGGAGATAACGTCAAACGGGAAGCAGGTTCATCCAACTATTGTATTGGAATCCCCCTCACAGTGTGCTCTTGAAGTGATGACAAGGCGAATGACGTTGCTGGCGTTGATGAGGGGCCTGAAAGCAGGACCGAAGCGACACACATTGCTGGCTTGGAGCAAGAGAATAACGTGACCGGAGCGGAGACTTGTGCGGGTTTCGAAGAAGAGAGCC